TCTCTGTGCCAGGCTTCCTACTTATCAAATACTAACATTGCTATTAACATTTAAAAAATTATTCTGAATGTACAAATTGAATGTATGACTTGTCTATTTCATTAGCAATATTTTCACTCTGAATAATTACCACTAATTCAAAATACTCAAAAGATCAAAAAGTATTTTCATAAAAAACTAGCTTAGCAATTTTGGTAAGTTATAACCCACAAATAAAAAAGGAAAACAGATTTATACTTCTCAAAAATTCCCATAATCCCCCACTATGAAAATCACGTAAAGGAGTAAATTTACGAAGGTGTATAAACTCTGAAAATGAGCTTTTCCTTTGGCTAAGTATTATCTTTGATCAGTAACGGGTATAATTTTCGTAAGTTAATGCACAGAAAATATACACATTTTAAAATTAAAGTTCAATTTAAGTAAAATTAAAAAAAATTTTTATGATTCCATTTGTTTTTAATTTTAGGGGAGATAATTGTATTTATTTGTTTAGTTATTTTTGATGGAGGTCGTGGGAACCGAACCCAAGACCTCATGCATGCTAAGCATGTGCTCTACCACTGAGCTACACTCTCCCACATGTAAAATTTAAAATTTAGTTCCTCTTTTGCACTAGTCACATTTCCAGTGTTCAAAAGCTACATTTGGTTGGCAGCTACTGTACAGTGCAGCTACAGATCATCTCCCTCAGTGCAGAGTTCTGTTGGGCACCACTGGGTCTAGATAATTCTAAGACGAAAAATAAACAAAACGCCTATCGTTTGGTTTGAGAAATGGTCATAACACCTAAGATTCCTCTTGTGACACGGGCTTTGGCGGGGATGTGGGGAAGTCTGTGCTATGAGCTATTGCTTGGATAGAGAGAAAAACGCATTAAGATTCTGAGCTCAATTTTACGTTTCCGGGGATGGGGGTGGTGGGGAGAAATCTGTTAAGAGGATGTGCCTGTTTTATAGCTTCTCCCAGAGGGTACATGACAGAACCTCGTCCACAGTCTCTTTCTTTTCTCACCCCGAATACTCCTCAGACAATCTTGCCCACACAGCTACAAGCTGGTAATATGAAAATGTCCATTTCTAACACAGATGGAACTCCTGCCTTCAGATCCATAAATCCAGCTTCCTTTACTCCACGTTTTTACTAGGACTATTTTGAAAGTGACTCACAGTGTATCCAAACCTGAACTCATCATTTCTTGCACTGCTCCCTGTATAATAATTTGGTTGGCCTTTGTCCCCAGTTCCTGGGAGGTAGCCAATAAATTCTTGAATTTCCCAAGTGCTAAGAGTATCTTTGTTATTCATGGTGGGTTCCTTGGCCCACATCTGACAGTCTGCACTAACAGGTGGCTCAGGGTAGGCTCCTAGATCATTTTTTCCTAAGGAGATGACTCGGGATGGGAACTGGCCAAGCCAGAGAGATCCACCATTTAATTAGAGGTCTGGGGCTTTGAGCTAGTAGAAAACAGCCCAACCTCTGGGTAGTCAGGGGAGCTGGAGACTGAGTTCAACCTTGTGGCCAAAGATTTAATCAATCACGCATAAATAATAAAACCCCAATAGAAACTCTTGACACCAGATCTCAGGTAAGCAGCCCCGCTTGGCAATACTCTACACATTGTCACACACTGATGTGCCAGGAAGGTAGGGCATCCTGACTCTACGGGGAAAGGAAAACGCACATCTTGGAATCTGGGACTGTCTCAGATTTTGACCAGTGTGTAACTAATTATACATATAGGGCTTTCCTGAATTCTGAGTCATTTTACTGAATTTATAACCAGTTCATCAGGAATGAGGGTAGACCCCCAAAGTTGTGACTGGAGTCTGAAGTTTTGGGGAGGCTGTGCCTTTAACCTATAAAGTCTGGCTTCACCCTGGGTAGCTGCTGTCAGCAGTCACTGCACCCTCCAGATCTGCTCCTCGTGCAGGGTTCACAATCCCAGCAAATGGAGATCCAGCCATCTGTCCTTCCGCCGACGGGAGAAAGAGGGTCACTGTTGGTGATTCTTCCTCCTCAACCGCACTCCACACTAAACGGTGAATCAATACATCCTTCCAACTCTCTCTCTGCCCACTTCTCTCCAACTCCTGTCCAGCCTACAAAGCCCTGCATGACCTGGTCTTTTCCTCTCTTCTACCATTTTCCTCGTTGCTCATAAAATTCTGGCCATACGTGCCTTCTCTCTGATACCTGACCTGACAAATTTATTCCTACCTTAGAGCCTCTTCGCTGTTCCCTCTGCTTACAATGTCCTCACAGAGCTTAGCTAGGCTGGTCCCTTCTCATCATTTAGGTCTTCATATATGTCTTATCCTCAAAGCAGTCTGCCTTACCTCCCAATCTCAAGCAGCCTGCCAATAACTGCCTCCCCATCCTGTTTGATTTTCACTGTAGTACTATTTCTTGGTTTCTGACTTATTTCTCCTCATCAGAATTAAGTTCCATATCTTAGTCAAATGCTGTATTCCCAGGGCCTAGATCAGTGTCTGGCACACAGAAAAATCTTTTCTTTTCTTTTTTTTTTAAACTTAATATCTTAATTGGATATTCAGATATTACTGAATCCACTGAATAGGACTTACAGTTTTACCCTCCTCAAACCCATTCCCTATACTGTAGCCCGAGTCAACTTTCTAAAACACCAACATGACACCAATGCCTCCTTAAAAAATGGGGCTCACTGCTATGTTCAGAGGAAGCTCTTTCTCTGAGACACAGAAGATAAGCCTCTTCATGATCTGGCTTCTGTTCAGCATCCCCAGCCCTGCCCCTCTCCCCAACCATTCTCCAGCCAGGCTGAACTACTGCCAAATACCTTGAACATTCCAGGCTCTCTTGCCTCTTGAATTTCCTGTATGTGTCCCTTCCTTATGACACCCATCTTTCCTCCCCAATTTACCTGGTTAACCTTTATTCATCCTTCAAATCTTCTTAACACATCCTCCCTTAGTAAACCTGCCCTGATCTTCCAAAATCATGTTAGCTACCCCTCCTGTGTGCTTCCAAAATCACGTTAGCCACCTCTCCTATGCACTCCCACATGACTCTACCTCACCCCTCCACAGCACTGACTCTGGATGTGCTGTAACTGTCTGCCTACTCGCCTGTATCCTTCTCAAGAACGTAAGCTCCTTGAGAGCAGAAGCCTTGATCCATTTGGTGGTATTACTACCACTGAGCACAGTGCCTGCTGTCATACTATAGGAGCTTAACACATTTGTAGTAGATTAATTTATATACTGGAAAGTCTACTGACAAATTCAGAAGTCTCTGTTATTCCTTCCATGTTCCCGATAGTGTTGAAGCCAATGTGACCCACAGAAAAGGTGCCCAATAAGTACCAGGTCACAGTATAATGACTTCCTTAACCCGGTGAGAGTAAAGAGAGAAAAGTCAGGAATACTCAGGTTTCTTGATGATGGGGTGTATCTATTTAAGGGTGCTAGCAGGGCCACTTATTAGCTTTAAAGAAGTAAACTTACAGTTTAAAATTATGTCATCTCTTTCACCATGTCTCTTTGCTACATAGTTACTAGCGTTTAATTTTTGCTATATGCCCACAAAACGGAAATACCAGACTTTATTCAAAATACTTGTGTTAATGAAGAAGTATTAAGTTTCCTAATTTCAGGGAATCTGTTTATAGGTACTCCATTTTAAAGAGATATAGGTAAGTAAAATTTCTCTTGAAAAGAAAAACTGGCCAACTGTCACTAAAGGATAAGAATTATTGTTCTTTGGTACCATGATAATTCGTATAAAGATAGATACACAGATACATTCTGTAACTATATCAATGTGTCAATTTTTTTTTTACATTCTGAAACTACAGAGTAATATAAGAGATTTTAAAAATAAACATAATAGAAATTATTCATAAACATAAAGTCTGTAATTCAAAGCAGTCTGCTTTGAAGACTCATTCCAAAAATGAAACCAAAGCTCAAAACATTTTGAAAAACTCTCTTTGGGGGCTGTCTTTAGATTCTGCACAGATTCTTTGGAATATTCTCATAGATGATCAATCTTTGCCTGTGAAAGTGAATCTTACCTTTGTAAGCAACTAGACATTAGAAGCCATGGTGGGAAATAAGGTCAAAGATCATGATTTGGGGTAGGGGGTTATTCAGTGGTAGAGTGCATGCCTAGCATGCATGAGGTCCTGGGTTCAATCCCCAGTACCGCCATTAAAAATAAATAAATAAACAAAAACCTAACCTTCCCACCCACATCCCTTCTCCGCAAAATAAAGATCATGACATTTCTGGATCAAACGCAAGGTATATTTGAATGAAAAGCACTGACAAGGTGTAAGTTTCCTTCTAAGTGATATACCTGTTCTGAACACAATGCATATCAAAGGACATCTAGAAATGCTGAGAGAGAGAGGAGAAAGACAACAAGGAAACTAGCGCCTCTTGAGATTTCTGATCAAAGTTATGGCTTCCCCTCAATCATTCGCATTCCCTACTAGGAAGGTACACCACATCAAGGTCATCTGTGGAGCCAGATTAAGACTCCATGGTTTACAGCAGTGGCTTTTGGCTCTCCTATTTTTTTTTTTGCCCCCCACTGTACCCAACAGAAAAAAATGTATACTATGCTATGACCCAGTTTGTACATACATACATATAATTAAAATAAAAGTTTCACAAATAATTCTCAACCATACCATATGTAACAATATTTTCTTATATTTTATTTCACTAAGAAAAATGTTACTCATGGCCTACTACAACAATTTCACAATCCACAGCTTTAAAAATACTCGCTTAGAGTAATGATGCATAATTGGAATAAGTTAATGAAAATGGGAAAACTCACTTGATTATAAAATTTCTGATGTTATTTTAAACTAGCAAACAAAAAGTCATTTTACCCTATAGCCAAAGCTTTTAAGAGACTACATTCTTTTTGGCAAAATGGAACTGCCTTATTCATCTAAATGGCTAACTGTTAGAGACACTGATGAGTAAATCATACAATGTTCATACCTTAATATTAGAAAACCATAAATCATTCTCATGTAAAGTGGCCAGGTAGACAGATGTAAGAAGTCCAATGCAAAGTGCAACAGTTCCACCAACTGTAAAAGACAGAATCTTCCATAATCTTCCACTGGTACAACCTTTTAGAAAAATAAACAGATGAAAAACTAAGTCGGTAAAGGATTTAACAGTTCTATTTCAGACTGCCAAGCATGCTATGCTCCAGCTGCCTGTCACTGGTGAAGCCTTCCCCATCTCCAGGAGAGTGAGAGGCTCCCTTCCATGATTCCACAGACCCTTCTATACTTTCCATATTCTTATTACAGTTTTTATCCCACTGTATCTAACTGTTCATTTGTCCATTTTGCCAACTAGAGAATGGGAACTTCTTGATGACAAGTATACTGTCTTAATCATTCTTAACACCTATGGCCTATGTTTGGCCTCATTTAACTACTAAGTTCTTAAATGGAGGAATAAATGGGTTACAGATCTAAAATAAAAACAATCTTTGAGATGGTCTACTTACAATGTGTGGTTTATTCATTAAAAGCTACACCCAAACCTGATTACTTAAAATTTTAAAGCCCAAAGAAAAAAATCCATCACACTGAAGTTCAAGGATGTATAAACTAGGAAAAATATTTATAGCACATATACACAGGGCTAAGTATCCTTAATACAGGATACTTTCAAGATAAGGAAGAAAAACACAATGAATATTCCAGTAGGAAATTAAGGACATGAACAGGCAAGGCACAAAAGAAAAGAAAAGCCAATAAACTTAACAGATAAAAAAAGTTAGTACTAAAGAAACGCAAATCAAAATGAAGAGCTGTAACTTTTATAATACTGGCCAATTTGATAGCTTAAAATGCTTAGTATTCTGTTTTGGAAAGGATACAAAAAACAGACACTTTTTCAAACACTGCTGGTGTTGGAATAAATTGATACCTCTCTGGAATGCAACATGGTAACAGGAAGTAGAAGCCATCAAATGAGCACCCTATTTGACTAGTAATTCTAAATCTAGGCATAAACCCCGACGAAATAATTAAAGTTTAAAGCATACATTTGGCCACAGGATATTTATCGCAGTTCAGTTTGTACAGATAAAAGGTTAAAAAAAATCTAAATATTAAGCAGGAAATTAAATTATGCTATTAGTCACACAACGACTATACACTGACAGTATTTTAAAAATACATTGACATGATATGTTTGTAACACACAGAAATACAGCAAATTACACAGCAGCACGTAGGATTACAATTTTGTAAAACCACATATGAATGCTTGTAGGCATACAAGTGCAGAGAACATTCAGACAGCAAGATAAAGTGTCATCGGTGGCAATCTAAGGATGAGTAGGTTTGTGGGAATATTTTTTCCTTCTTTTTTGCTTTTCTTTAGTTTTCATTTTCTGACACGAATAAATACTGCTTTGGTAAAATGAATAGTCCTCAGAGTTTTACTTTTTAATTTAAAAGGACAAACTTGAATTTGCATTTGTATTTCTATAAAGTTTTCAGAAAGTACTCTGTATTGTCCCAAATTGCTAACAGCTGAGTTGGATGGCATGCCTTCTCAATATAGATTACTTTTATTTTATAAAGCTGTTACCCGAAATTATTTCACTAGCTCTAGCTGCAACTGACCTAAATTCTGTCAGATATCCAAAATGGCTGATGGACACGGAATTTTTTATGCTTACTTTTAAAAATCCTTACTATGCTTAGTCTAAGAGAGCAACTAGGGAGGCAAGAAGTTGGTAATTAATGCCATCTTGCGTACAGCTTAGCAAGTCTTCAACATTATCAAAGAATTAAACAATTTACCAAATTCTGACCACTTTCCCCACCCCCCAAAAAAAGCAAAGGAGAAAATTTCAGGAATTTACCTGAAAATAAAGAATTTTTTAAAAGTCTGATTCACCTTTCAATACTTTAATGAAATGAGAAACTCACCCAAGGTAAGGTCATCTAGTTGTGACCAGCATACTCAAACCAGAAAAATTTGAACTAGACTAAAATCTGAACAATGGGAAAAAGTATCACTCTATAGAGAGTCAAAGGATCAGACTGGTGTAACCATACTGAACAGCCAGCTGAGAAACAAAGGGTTCTAATTAGAGGTCTTTTCATCTTTTATCTAATCGTAACTGTGAAACCAGTATTACCTAATTACAATCAAATCACTTGTAAAACTAAAGTATCAGGGTAGCAGAACAAGTTTCTTCAACTACCATGTCTCACTAAATTTTCATCCTATTGGAGAGTAATTATTTTCATATGTACACACACACATACACAAAGCAACCCCAAATGCTGCTTTAACTTAAATCACCTACTAGATGGCAATTTATTTTCCAACTTCACATTTTCTTCTTGTACCGCATAATCCTCGGAAACTTCTGTGGTTTTTATTCCTTTTCTTTGCCTGATGGATATCATGGTGTCAAAGACTTACACGCATTGTTTTCCAAGCACTCCTACGAACAACACAGAGGTAAACCACCATCCATCCGTATGTCAGTATCCTCTCTCCCCAAATGCATCCTGTGCTCATTTGACTTTACCTTTGTTTCTTCCCTTGCTTAGCATACCCTCCCATTTTCCCACTCAAATTTTAACCAGCCTTCAAAGCTACTCTTAAGACACAACACAAACATTTCTTTAACACAACCCCATTTATGAAGTGCCTGTTCTAAGGCAGGCATTGCCAAGAGTTAGGAATACAGGCGAGCATCACAGACAAGCCTCTGCCCTTCTTCCAGGAAGCCTCCCTCCGATGCACCAACCCCTGCTTATCTTTCCCCTTTTTGAGCCATGTTACCATGCAATTTGTCACACAGTTACGTAGCTTTATATTATTTTATAAAGTATCCTACCATGGGAAAGGTACCCAGAAGTAAATTTCTTGATTGTTGATAGACCGATTTTGAAGAACTGAAATACTGTCTGGTCTCAGGAATTTTGATACCAGTGTTCTTTAAATCAATTCACATTGGAAGCTTTAGGAATATGCCTCAGTGGTGATGGCAGCGGGGGTGTGCCAATCAGGGCAGCTGCTATGCCAGGGAGCAACAGTGGGAGTGACTGCAGGGAGAAGGAGCCTGGTTTGGAAGCAGCAAGTGGGAGGCGGGGGAGTGGTGGCAGTGAGTAAGCTGGTTACAGTCCCCCGGAACATCTTGCGTCACTCCTCCCAAGAACGAACAGCGTTTTATTAATTATTTATTAAAAATGGCCAGTTGCCAGACGATTCCTTGGGCAGCTTATTAATTCCGAAAAGTAAACAAGTTGCTCTAGTGAAAAGAACAAACCAATCAACATTATTCAATTTATTCATTTATGCATAAATGCATGCATACAAAAAAAATCTGAGAAGCAAGACAGACTTCGGTGCAAGCACTGAAAATGGAGACTCTGGAGCAACAAGGGGGAAAAGGAGTGTCGGCAAACTCGTACTGCCAGAGATGGGCTTATCCCCAAATTACCTTATCCTAGAGTCATGCCCTTTCTAAGGACTCGGAGCGGAGTTGTAAAACCCCACAAATGATACACCGTACCACGTTAAAACAGAAGGGTAACTAATATTGAAGCGCCAACTCTGTGTGATAATTGCATGAACCCACGAAACAAAAGTTTCCCCATCAAATTACAAGGAATGCCATTTTAAACGTCTGAAAAGGGACATGAGAGTGGTGCTTTTCTTCTCCATTGCTTAGGACTGGCACGTACTGGGCATCCCGGGGAGCTGTAGGACATGTTACTCAGCTTACCTGCGCACCCCAGCCCTACAGCACCGGGGGCCCCCGCCAGACTCCGAGGCCAGAGAAGTTCGGTAACTCGCTCCAGCTCACCCAGGAAGTCGCGTGGCCGCGGAGACCGGAGACCCTCAGGCCCTCCCTCCGCCCAAGCGGCCAAGAGCGGAGAAGTCACCCGAGAAGGTGCCCCGCCCTCGGCAAACTTGCTCCCTCCTGAGTTGTTTTCCTCGGCCCCCCCATTTCTGGAGGTTAATGAGGCG